AATTCTTAATCACTGTTATAATATCAGAGGTGAAAACTGTAAAATGATTTAACTAAATTTCATTTTCATGGTATCCCACGGCAAAAAAAATAAAATAAAAAAATAATATAGCAGCATATAAAAATGATTTATAAAAACACAATTCAATCAAGGTAAAGCTTTAAGCATAAAAGCACTTTACAAACATTTGACATATTAAATAACATTCAGTGTCTATTTCAATGCGCAGCAGGTTTTTCCACATAGTTTAACGTTCTTTTCACATAGGCTTATTAAATATTCTGTAATCAAACCTGTTACATTTCTTGATTAGAGTAATCAAATTAACAACTGACTTGTACTCAGTCGACAGCAAGAAGGCAGAGGCTCACAAAATGGGGGGAGAAACTGCACCAGCACCACTGACAGATAAAGAGGAGAGGGTCAAGTAGAAGAATTTAAAATCCAAAAGGAAAAAGAATAACTGTTGCTTTTGTATTTGTAGAAAATAAAGATGAAAATTCTAATTATTGGGTTACAGAGGTTGCAGCAAGATGTTATTAAGTGATTTATCAGATTAGCCTGATTAGCCATTAGATTAGCCATTTAAAACGATTGCAGCTTAACATAAGAATTTTTAGATATTTGTACTTGAAATAAGACAAAAATACTAAGTCAGAAAAGCTATTTTGCAGCGTGAATAAATTAGGTATTTAAACATGGCTTACGCTTTAAAACGGGGGTGGAGACCAAAAGAAACTCTGGGTTTAGCGAAGAAAACCTGCTCCCGACCAGGTTAGGTTCATAGAGTAAGTTACCATGGAAACTGACTCTGAGTATAAGTTACCTCTCTTTCAGAAATGGGCTTGACTTACCCTGCTTTCTCGGGTTTGACCAACCTCCCATTTTGAAACGGAAAACCCAGAGTTTCCCTCATTTCAGGGTTAACATATTCAGAGTTTTCACTTAACCTCCTTTCTGAAACGGGCCCCAGGTATACTGGTTATTGTGGGTGTGTCTTTCCACCTGAGGCTTATTATGCGGAGCTATAAAAACTGCAGCACTGATGTGGACGGGGGCACGATGTGACCACACTAACCGGAACTGCTTTCTCTTTTGTTTTGTTGTTTATTTTGTTTGCATACAGTTCAGACCTTGAGCTTACAGTCCACTGTCATGCACGCTTACATCACTGACTTACATTAATACTGACTACTGACTGTTTGAATACCTTTGTTAATTATGCTTTTGTTAAATAAACTACTTTTCTTTGCTACTTGCTGGTCGGTGTTGGCTCTTATGTTGCAATTTTGAGCCGGTTGTAACAGTAATTTTGCTATATTACTTTAATTGTTTTGGTTCAACATACTTAT